TTTTCTGGAGACAGTAGTTATTCTGAATGAATTCTGTCTTCCCAAGTAGTCTTCTAATTTCTGTTAGCATACATGTATTATTGCTTTAAATTTATAGCAAGAAGCCAGGAAGAAGTATAGTAAGAAAAGGGCTAGAAAGAAGCTAGATGGTGAGACAACTCAAGGCAGAGAGTCCTTAAGATTAAAAATGCTTGATTGATTCAGACAATGTTCTTGTAGAGCTCTAGAAGACACGGTATGCTTCGATTCTTTTCCACTGCCATACGACACTCATTTTTTGATATTAAAATTGTCCTCCCCTGTTAATGAGTCTTGGAAGAACATCAAGAGCTGCTAGAAGTAAGTGACTCAGGAGAACTTTGTGCTCATACAGGTTTCTCCCTCCTGTTCCATTTATTTTATCAAGTGGATTTATGTTGAGCAGCATTCAGCCACAGAACAAGATGCCAAGGCTCTGGATGCCTTACAAGGTTATCTGTTTGTCAGAGTCTCTGTGCATTGACTGGCTTTCCTACTTTTAGGCTCTCCCAAGAGTTACTCTAAGCAGAAGGATTTGGAAATGGCAAGTGAGTCACACAGTAGGTGAACGAAGAGCCCAGAACGGAACTAAAGGTTGATGCTGTTCTCCTCCGTTACTACACAGTACTGTGAATAATGGATGCCAATCATAGTGTTAAGCAGGTATCAGGGAAAGGAAAGGTATGCCATTTGTATGGCATATGTATGCCATTTGATTTCCAAATCCAGTGTGCATTTGCTATGTTCATGACCTTTGCTATGTTCAATTTCTTTGAATATGTGTGTATTTGAGCTGTCAGTGATAACGCTGGGGGAAACTCAACGCAAAGCTAAACTCTTCAAATAGTCACTGAGTGCAAAATAAGGGTACATTTTTTATTATGTTTTATTGCTAAACGTATTAGTGTGACAGGGGTCCACAATGATACCATACGACACTTAACAGACCTAAGTGCTGATCTAAATCTTTGTAATAGATGATTCATCAACAGCTACAAACCAAGAATTATTTACAGAAGAAATCTGTGAGAGTGTCATAATTACAGACCAGAAAAATAGTGAAAATAAACACTGGCACTATTTGACAACAGCATCATTTATTGTTGCTCTACCTAATACAGATGTTAGTTTCAGTAAAATGGAGAATTTTATAATTAATAAAGTTTAAATTACTAGAGAGGGTTGAAAAATGCCATCAAAGTTATTCATGCCATGGAAGTTATAAAGAAAAATGTCTTCCTTAAATATTTTGTCAATTTGAATATTTTTCAGCCTGTTATAACACTATATTTGGCTATGATGGTTATGAAATTGGAAGTTTGAGGTACATAAGTATGTGTGTGATTTGAAGCATGCAGCTGGTCCTCTATAAATCACTTGATTAAAGCTCGGAAAGTCTGTAAATATTTTACTTGTCTGTATTTCCTGGATGCAATGCCCTCATAATATACAAATACTATAGAGAAGCATATCAGTGACAAGGTGAAATAAAAAATTTCCCCTCTCTTTTAAATTTCCAGCTTTTGGCCACTTATTATACTAAACTCTCTGCACAATCCAGAGAGAGCTGATCCGGAGTAGCCAGGGCTGCATGTTCCAGTACATGCTTCCAGTTTCAGGAAAAGCCGTCACTACTGAATCATCACTAGTGTGAACTTAACAAATGAAATATCCTTGAGAAGGTACAAAAATCCACATTACTTCAGGCTTCAGGAGATTATAGTGTCCATTCTAGCAGAGTAGCCCTCATATAGGGCATTGCATTAACTGCATTATTTTGCTTTGAGGCAAAAAATACGACCCTCATGCATGCCAGGGAGCTCGGAATGAAATAACCTTCTAAAACTGCACTGGATTCTTCAAGGGAAAACTGAGGAAGCTTTTTCCTGAAGTTTTGCAGATGTAGACCTATATTTCACCTTGACTTTAATAACCATTTTTCTGAAATATGGATTAATTTTTTAAAATTTTGTCAAGAAACATCTTCCTATTTGATATTGTTACAAATATACCTCCACCGCCTCGGACAGCAATAGTAACAGAGACAATGATCAGCTCGCTGATTGACTAGCTGAAGTTTTGTGGAGCACACTATTATGGAGTAATGCAAGCAGCTCTCCTCTGAAGATTTCTGCGTTGTGAGGACTAGTTTTCCTGGCAGCGCATTCTTATGCAGTGAAATGGTAAAAGATGTGGTTCCCCTGATCTGAAGGAGGGTGATGTGACAGCTCAGTTAGTTAGAAAAGAGAGTATTCATGGCAATAAGTAGGAGCAGCTGACTCTTGGGTGACTGGTCATATTCTCCACCTGCATCTTTGTCTGGCAGACTGAAAAATCCTATCATAGGATCCCTTAGACCAAACTGTCCAAGTCATATGACCTTATTTATAAAAGATGCTTTTACTAGAGCAAAGGGGAAGAGGGAAAGTGCTGTAAACATTTTGTACTTGGCTAGATGACTGAATTTTTGAAGAAGCTCTGCAGTATATAATTGTGACAATACCTTACTGCTGTTTTATCAATAAGGAAAATGCAGCATGCTTGCCCAATATGTACCCAGCAAGCCAGACACACAAATGACAGTACATTAGTCTTGCTGATGTCCTTCTTATGTGGCCACAGATATCCTTTGCTGGAGCACATCCTTCCCTCCCCTCCCCACCAAAACATTTTCCTTTAAGTATCAAACTGTGAGATTTACAAAAAAATCACAGTGTTTCAGAACAATCTCAACTCAGACAGCAAAACCACTGGCACATTCTCAATACCATAGCATCTCTAATCACTTTTACAGTGAGGTTTGAGGAGTGGGCTCCAGTGCTGAGTGCTTTTTATTGTTGATTATCATACAGAGGAGAACCTTTTAATGACAGACAGTTACCCTGAGAAGGGGAATTAGAACTGGAATGGATAGATTTACTGCTTACCTTGTGTTTGTCAGTAGCTGGGAACGCTGTCCTGCCTACTGGAAAGGGGAAGCTCTGAGCCTGCTCCAGATATCTCCAGCATCTGTGCCTGAGGGACACAGAAACAATAGCTACAGAAACAGCACTTATAAACTGAAGGTCCCTTTGCTCAGCCATTGTCTGTGGGGATACCACTGGGTCCATACACCCCCCTAGACTCATTCATGTACAGAATAGGGCACTATGTGTGAAGATATTCATTTTCTCCTGCCAGTAAGCTTGTATATGGGGGTCTGGACTCATTAGAAGTAACCAGGCAGAAGACTGAAAGGCACCTCCCCTTGGAATTACTTCAGGATCAGTTGAGAAGCCATGAGGAGTGATCAAGGGGATCACTTCATAGATCAGGGGCTCTTTAGAGATTGCACAGAATAATGTCTGTGACCCATTTTCCTATTCTGTTCATGGAGTACTGGTGTCAAACATCATCATTGTCTAAGAGAGGGTTGGTTCCAGCTCAACAGCTGCAATTGTAAGATTTCCTATAGTTTTGGATCACCTTTCAGATCAGTTATTGTTGAACGGTGCTTTTCCTCATCTGCAGGTGGAGGGCAGGAGTTTGGAGTTGCGGGGGATGCACAGAAGGGAATAGGTTTATGTCAGAGGAGAGGTGTTGCGTGGTGATGAACCTTTGCTGCTCAGTGACTCTGTCATTGTCTACAAGGTCCTTTAAACCAAACCTTTCAAGGAAACACCTTTATCCCATCCAGCATCTGATCAGAGTGGCTGTGTATGGATTTGAGTCCTAGCTTCCCCAGAGTTTAAGGAGAATGGATTTAGATTCACTGAAGCTCTAGGATTAGTCTTGGGCCTCATTAGCACCACCGCTGCCTGCTTACCTCCATTCACAAGAGCAGAATTCAGGAGATAATGAGTAGGGGATCCCACAGTTCAAAATCTAGCAAGTTTTATAAGCAAGAGAACAGCAGTTGTTTCAGATCCCATCATTGTGTCTGGGCAACCCGGTAATATTAGTGGAATAAATCAGTATACTTCTGCTTAGACTAGCAATCCTTGACAAAAGGGCTTCTGACTGCTGCCACTGCTCTATCCCTGGAGCTTCTGCAAGTCTAGGGGAGCTGAGGGTGACATGCCCATGCCACGGGTATTGTGTGAGCAGGACTGTTACGTGCACACTGTGAGAGCTGAGGGCTCCCACCTGCTGACCTTACTGTTGTCCATCTGTACTGGTCACCTGAGGAAGCATTAAAGCATTGTGACAAATAACTGGGCCTTCCTGGTTTACATCAGAAGGCTATGAGGGCACTTGCAAACTTCTGGCAACACAAGGCATCGTTCACAGTGCTTTCCTTCTCTGCTTTGTGCAGCATGTAGCCAATTTTCTTCATTTACTGTTTTAGGGTAACAAGAACATTGTCTGGGGAAAAAAAAGAAGTAGACTTAGAAAGATGTCTCTGCATCAAATCAAATTCCTTGTGTTACTATGGATCCTGGTCCATTAGTAAGCTAATAAACACTGCCTTCCTCTTTAGCAGTTTCACTGAGGAAGATCAGATATATGTCTGTTTCAGAGACATACACTAAGTAGTAATAACAAGGCATTCAAGTACCCACTGTATCTTTCTGGGTGCCTTGTTATTCCTATTAAAAAGCACACCAAGAAATCATCTAAATCGTGTGAGAAATCATGCTAAATAGTGTGAGAATTGGAAAGCAACTCTAGAGTATGTGACCAAAATATCCACACAGCTGACCGAAATGAAGATGAAAGAAGATATTTATCCTGGCTAGAATGTGAATTTTTCAAGGTTTAGCATTTAGAAAGAGTAAACTTCAAACAGACAGTGGCACAGCAGTGCTGATAAAACTAATTCATGGAAAAAAGTCAAATTGTCCCTGTGTTAAAGATTCTAGCTTTGCATTGATAATGAGGGAAAAGTTCTGCCTCCCTCCCTTTCTTTGGCAGGTAATTAAACAGCTCAAAGATCCATTTCACATGCACTTTGCTATTAATGAGGTATTTGGAGTATAATTATCCTTCTCTTCTGTTAACAGCTGAGAGGAAGCGTTCCCTAGGCAAAGACTACCACCCTCTTTGCCTGAAGTGCTACCTGTGCAAACGGCAGCTGAGCCCTGGCCAGCACGCAGAGGTAGGAAATAAACTCTCCATCTGACAGGCTCAAGGAATTATTGCAGTCCTTAACGATGTCCCCCGATCCCTGTTTCAGAGGGCTGACTCATTCTGGGTTATACTGAGGGCTGCATGTGGCATGTTTAGAAGTTTTTTTGTGGCGTAAGAGATGAAAAGAGAAAGGCTGACAGAAGGTGGGCATTCACTACAAGTAGCAGACAGATTAGAATTGTGACAATGTGGAGGTCCAACAATCGCTTGCTAAATATACCCTGCTTGCCATAGCAGCAAAGATGAAAGCATTGGGTGTCTGTCATGCTGAACAGGCTTGCAGCCACCCCCAGCCAGAAGGTGGACAGGATGTGTGCACCACAGGCAGCCTTGTGGTGAACTGAGCACAGGGATGGCATGCTTTTCCAGATCTGGACAAATACCTTTCTGTAGTGGTATATATTCACAGAAGAAGGTTGATCTGTCAAAACTAAGGGGAAAGGGAAGCATTTCAGTGATTTCCCCCCCCCCCCCCCCAAAAAAAAAAAAAGCTCTTCAAAAATCTTTACAACTGTTGAAAGCACATTCTATGTTTTTGCAAAAATAGTCCATTTTTTTCAGATTGAAATTTCTATTTTGAAAGCAAAGCTAACTACAAGGGGAAAAAATAATTTAGAAGCAAATGAAATAAATGAGACAGTTAGTTAGTTAAAAAATACTCAGACAGATAGTTTCAAGTGAGTGAGGAACTTTTTAAAATCTAGATCATCAGCAAGCAAAAGCTATCCAGGTTGCTTTTTTGTTAAGCTGCAGGCAGAATGGTTTTGAAACCCTGGCAGTTTTTCCGGAAAAGAAAACTATTTTCTTCCCAGTGTTACACCCTGGGAGAATCAGAGAATGGGCCAAAGGAAGAAGGGGGCAGCTTACAAAGGGAGATGTGAGAATACTCCGTGGGGTTTGAAATATCTCAAGAAGTGTGGTTCCCTCCCCATCCACAAACACAGTGGACTAAAGTCTCAGGAATATTTTCTTAGTTGATGCCAAACCTGATGGTCCCTTGTGAGCTCTGCAGAAGCTATCAAATTGATCAGGTTCTTTGACAAAAGAAGGAAGTAGTGGAAATGAGTTATGTGCAGCTGTCTGCTGCCAATGCGAGCTACTGTCCCAAGGCAAAACATTTGCTATAAATTTAAGAGACTCTTGGATCCAGATACTCAGCTACCTGCTGATATAGAGAAGGCCACCCAGTCTCAAGACCAAAAGGACTCCAAAGTCCCTTAATTTCAGAAGAGCTAGGTGCTGAGTTACTTCACGTTTCACTAAGTTCCTTAATCCCAGTATTGTGGTGTCTCCTCTTATCACCATTTTCTTTTTCCATTTCTGTAATTAAACAATGTCTTGACATTTGTTTTAATACATTTTCTAAGATCTATCTCAACCCATCTTTGGCAGCTCCTCCTTCCTCTGTGCTTGGCTTCCAAGGTGTGGCAGTCTTGCTGCTAAGTCTCAATTCCATTTCAAGTAAGGTTACCTGCATTTTCCCCGTATTTCTGTGAACACAGTAACTCACACCGTTAATTATGAAGTCCTTTCTCACAATTCCCCCTCAATACCTAACCTTCCCTCCTTAGCATAAGGTTTCATCTCTGAGTAAAGAAATTCTAGGATTTTTTTTTCAGGTCCTTGACACCCCTGCAGTCTGTATTCCTGATGAAATGCTAACTGCACAAAGTCTCTGCCCTTTTGGAAGTAAAAGCTTCATCTTTCCATTGTAATCAAGTCATCTTACAAATAGTTCCTTTATACATTATTTTCTATGACTTGCTTCCACGTAAGAGCCTCTTGGTTTATCACATTCTCTCAGACGACTCTTTTGGTTCTCCAGTGTGCTCTCTGCTTTGTCACAATCCCGACAATGCACCAGCCTGGCTCTTTCAGTGCGGACTTTACAACCTCCTTAGGTCCTCCTTTTCTAATCAGGTGGCTGAAGCCTGTTCTGCCATTTTTACTGACAGTGTGACCAAAACGAGCAAAATTGCAGGGCAATTGTACATCAGAGGCTGAGAGAGATGAGGCTTTCTCCCACTTACTGGAGCTCTCTCTTGTGCAGTATTCTGAAATCGTTTATCCAAAGTTACATGAGAGCCAGGAGGTGGTCACTGAGGCAGGCAGTTGTCCGACGAGTGTTTTGGCTCCAACCTTTGAGGGTACCAGTAGGGGACAATCTGCGCAGCTGCTCTTTGAGCAGCCTTTTCATTTGCTCTGTCAATCCCGCCCCTTGCGGAGGGTTGGGTATGTGGTATGTCCAGGCTATTCCTTACTCTCTGACCCAATTTTGCATGTCATTCCCTGTAAAATGAGAGCCCTAATAACTCTGGATTTCCACTGGGGAACCATATAACCCAATCAAGTCTTCTAATACCCTAATGGTGTGAGCCTAGGTAGCTGTGGTGCAGGAGTTGGTGTACAATAGACCAGAGCAGGCATCTGCAGTGGTCAGGGCATATCTGTGCCACTGGCTCTCCCGGAAGGGTCCAGTATAATCAAGTTGTCACACCTTTTGCCCTCTGCTGATACAATGCTTTTTGGTTCTCAGCCACAGCAGAGCTAATTGAAGGCTGCCTGGCCCATTTTGGGGCCAGTAGCAGCTCCCCCTCCATGCACGCTGCCGGTGGGGCAGTGGGTATTGCTGGTCCCGCCTGCGCCCTCTCCAGGCTGCTTGCCGCACTCCCAAACCACCAGGGACCATGTACGCTGCTCCGGCTGCAGCTGCAGCCGCTGCTTGAGCAGCTCTGTGCTGGGGTCACTGTCCACCTCCTGCCATGGCATGCCTGCTTGCAGCGGGTGGTGTAACATAGTGCCATGATTCAGCGTTTCCTTCTGTTTCATATTTAGCCACCTGTTTCCCAACTTCCTGTCTCTGCTAACAGAGGACACCTCTGCTGACTGAGATAGCAGCACTGCAACTTCCCCCATCGTACCCGCCGCCTCCCCGGTCACGGGTAGCACCATCGCTTTAAGATGGAGGGGGATGGGCAGTTCACAGTATCTTAGTCTGGATAATTTTGCTCACGGGGATCTGATCCAGTCTGGTAAATTGGGGGAATAAATTCCAGGCAACATTTCCAGTTGCTGCAGTTTATTCCTGGGTTAACTGCGCTGTGCCCAACACCCACTCCACCAGGGAAGAGGAAACACTTTCGTTTTGCTGCTGTGGGGTATGGAGGGTGTTGCGCAGCCTGGGATCCTGGAATAAGCCCCCATCCTATCAAGCTCCTCTCTAGCAAAATAAACTGCAGCTGCCCCATCTCCCCACAACCTTAACAGCCACTCTAACAACCCTTCCCGGGGCTGCTGCCTGCAGCACCCCTGCATATCCTGCAGCTCTGATGCTTTAAAATCATGCATAGTTGTGGTTCCTTGCAAACTGGCTACGTTCGGTCCTGTAAGCTGCTGCTCTACCAGCAGCCAGGCAGCTACATCCCCCTCATGCTCTGTGTCTGACCCTGAGCTGGGGGAGCTTGTCAGGGTCCCAGATATTGCCATCCCAAGTTTCCAGATCCCAATCTATTTTTCACACCAATGCCTGCACAGCCAGAGGATGGACATCTTGCTGCCTCCACTGTCACCGCTGCGATTTGTAATGAGGGCGGCCAAAACAGTACACTCGTGGTTCAGCTTCTCGGCTCAGTCCATGGTTGCAATTGCAACATCTCGGGTCAGCTGGCGAGCCTCCTTAGCGGCTCTGAGATCACTTTCCAAAGGCTCATTTCACTGGTGCTGCGTTAGCAATGTCTTATCCAGGATGTGAAGCACAGTTAGCAAGATCCATTCCAGATCCCCCACTGCCTTTCGCACCACCAGCCCTGCTTTTCCCAGCCTGAGCTTGGAAATGCATTCCACAAGCTACTCTAGGGACCCCCTGGCTCACTCTCTAGCTCTGGCCATGCTGTGAGGGTGACCCAACCCACCAGCTTGCGAGCTGTCGATGGCCATCGACCCATAGCAGGCCACCTGGAAATGCAGCTCCCCACCTCCCCCTTGTCCTCTCATCCACAAAGAGGCACCTTCACACTGGTACCCTGCCGACTCTGCCAAGTAGCACCACAAGATGGCCAAGAGAGGGTTGGACACTGGCAGAGAGAGACACTCAAAGTTCGTCAGGGGTTAAACAGGATAGATTTAAAAAAGGACTTACACTCCAAGCTGCATAGAGAGCCACGGGAACCACGCGGAGAGGTCACTGATAGGAGGCTGCTGGAAGCCTGGATTGTATGCATGGTTCAGATGCCCAGGCAAGACTCGACCCATTGTATCCTCAGGGCCCCTTAAATCTACCAGAACTATTTCCTTATCTCAGCTGTGCTAACCTTGAGTAATCACTGTCTGGGAAGCAGCTAGACATTGTTGACAAAATGAAATAGGCATGCCTGGCCCTGATAGGAATTTGGTCAGTGTGTAGTTTCACACACTGAGCCTGCTACCACATACTCTGTGAATCACTGACTCCTTGCCAGACCTTCTGCAGGTGTTCTCACTATACATGGGAAACCATCACTAATGTCACCCCCTTCTAGCATAATTATCATATTTCTGGGTTTGCAGCCCTTGTGGTGGAAGCATGGAGAGCTCCCTTAAGTCGTTCCCTCTCCCATACTCTTACTCAGCCCAGCCCCAGCATCTGTTGCCTCCAGTGAAACTGAAGTCTCTGTAGCATGCAGAGGTAGGAGAAGAGAAGAGACAGAGCTGTCTAGCTGGGAGCCTAGGTTAAGGGCTGCCCAGGAAGCTGCAGAATGGGTAAAGTGAGAGCTCTTGGAGGAGAAAGTTGGAGGTACCAAGGGGGCACATGTTTGGGGGTAGGTGTATGGGGAAGGGGAAAGATTGTGTGAAAGGGGAAAATCAAAGAGTTGCTTCCCATGTTGGGGGGTGGGGGTTAGGGTCTATTTAAGAGGCACAGAAGCATCATGCGTGTTCCTGGGTGTTGCAGGTTGCTGTTGCTTTCTTTAGTATTACAGTGGAAGCCCCTGC